CTTTTTTTTTGGCTCCATTGGTTCCCAAGATGTGGACACAGTCCATCTGGTGTCCCGAGTCAGGATAGGACCGGTGTCCTTGTCAACGGTTCTGAACCAGACTTGCAGTGCGCGTGCAGGTGTGTTGTGCACTGTGCAGTGCAAAAAAAATGGTTCGGCTCACCAAAAATATCAAATAAATAGACGGAAAAAAAAAAGAAATGTGCAATGCACGACTCCCAGACGGATCCCTGCAGGGCCCACGTTGATGTAGGGGTCGTGGAGTGTGAGTTGAGGGGTGGTTTCTGTTATTTTTGGGGTCGTCTGTAAATTTCTGAGTTCGCTTTTGATTGTTCTCGGTCTTCTTTCTGATGTGAGTCCATTTTGTCTGTTCCGGGTTTGTCCGGTCTAGATGTGTCGTTTCAAGTATTTTTGTCCACACCGGTAGTGCCTCTGGACCAATTGGCCTGATTCAGGCCCCATGGCCGTTTTTCAGGCCTGGTGCACGTAGATGTGGGCTGAACCACGTTTTGGTTCAGCCCTGGTTTGTCCTTTTGTGAGACACGTCTGTCGTTTCGGTAAAGGAGCTTGCACGTCCTGTTGCCATTTTTGGCCAGAACACTGGACCAGGATTTGAGCCTGCATCCTGAACAGTCGATCGGCAGTGCAATTGGACGGTGCAATTGGACGGACCAAGACAGGCCGAGGTAGGATTCAGTAGGCCCAGTTCTAGGTATAGCTGGGCCAGCATTCTGGAGTCACGGCACTATGCTGCTGGAGCAGCACTGGAGGTTAGCTGCCTTATGCTAGAGTGCAGGGGATAGAAGGGCAGGGAGTCGAGGGCAGGAGGTGCTGACAAAGAGAGGACTCACTTGAGGGCTGGCTTGTTGGACGCCATAGCCGGAGATCGTCTTCTGTCCACTCCACCTGCAGCGCCACCTGAAGCACAGCTCAAGACGATGTCTTTTTGCTGGTTAGTACCTGGCTATTAGAGAGAGTGAGAGAGGAGTTTTTTCTTCTTATTCTTCCCTGCTTCTGCCCTCATCTCCTGATATGTATGTGTGTGTGTGTGTGTGTGTGTGTGTGTGTGTGTGTGTGTGTGTGTGTGTGTGTGTGTGTGTGTGTGTGTGTGTGAGAGAGAGAGAGAGAGAGATCTGAGACTTGGTGACTTTTTGGGCTATTGCCCACACTCAGACATTGTATTCCGGACAGAGACTTTGGGGACTATTGATTATTTCGCAGGGCTATCGAGTTGCAGTCTCCCCCTTCCTCTCTTGTCTTTGTCTTCCCTCTTCTCCCTTCGTTTGTGGATGTGCTGGGACATGGTGGCTACCTTCTAGGTTTGAGCCGCCATGTCCACCCTTGTTCACGAGTGATGATGGATGTATGCATTCGGTCTTGAGTTCCTATGAGTCAGATCTGTGTGTCTCAGTGTTCCGATGCATTGTCGTTGTTGTTTCTCTTATGGTGATCCTTGGTTCCTTTGCCGTGGCTATGTGATGGTTGTAGGGGCATGCTACAAAAAAACTGTGTTGGATTGGTATGAATTCAATTATTTAACAAATATCATCCCAGCCAAAAGTCCGTTACAACAATTTTTTGAAATTTCACTCTGCTTTTTCTTTTCTCATAAATTCAGGAAGGATCTCTTTTTCATTTGAGGATTTCCTGGTGCATGTGCACCACCATGGTGTGACTGTGAGCTGCATGCGCACTTTGTGCGTAGGAAGTTGTGAGCCGTATCTTGTCGATCCGCTAGTGTTAGCCCTGGTGGTTGTCCTAGGTCTCGCGACCAACCTGAACAAAACAAGTGCAACTAACCTCAAATGAGCCTTAACTGTG